GTACTGGGTTGGTTTGGATGCAAAGGATCAGGAAGCCAAGAGGTCAGCCCTGGTATCCAGGAAAGAGGCTGGTGGGTTGTGCAGACCTGGGAAGCAGAGGGAGGGGAGGGTGGGACCAGATCCAGAGGGCTCCTGGGGACTGAGAGAAGGAACTGGGTTCATCTGGATGCAAGGGATCAGGAAGCAGTGGTGGTTCTGGGGCCGAGAGGTCAGCCCCAGTGTCCAGGAAGAGGCTGGCAAGTGTCTAATCACTCTTAAGGGAAAAGAATGAGGACACCAATGACTGGAAAAGAAAACTACGAGTTAATCAACTGTTTTCAACTTCCACTTGCTAAACAACACATTTAACACTAAAATGCATTTTATTACAGGATTGCGAGAACAGAATTCTTTCTTTGTAGTGCACAGTTTTGCCACAAATGTTCCATCACCTGATCTCAAAGCCTTCCTTCATTTTCTCTGCCTTAACCCCAGCTGTTCCTGCTGAGTAAAGTTGATACTAAAGCTGTCAGAAAGGCTGCCACTCACAGCTTCATGGATGCAATTATTTTGACACGTGTCTCCCATCCTGCTCCAGTAGAAATTGCATGTTGTCCACAGTGATTGATTTATTACTGCTTTTGTACTATATTTTGTCATTATTCATTATTTTCTTTGTCAAACAGACCCATACTCTTCTTCATGTAATCACCCAGTCCTGCCTTTCAATAAGCAAAGTGGCTGACGGCTCCCAGCATCCTACTGTGGACACTTGTAATGACAGCGCTTTGCAAAAATGGTGACTAAGAAATTACACAAGAGCAGACGTTTTTAGAGCTGTTTTTGGAAATCTTACTGATTACTTTCTCTGATAATTTGTAGAAGTTTGTGTTTCAGACTTTTTAGCTTTATTTTAGTACTTTGTTCACTGAAACTTGAAAACCCTTAAGAAAGAATTTTATGGAGTTACTTTTCTGTTACTTCTTAGCTACTCATTAATTTGGAGACAGTACTTTAAATAGTGTATATTCTCTTATTAACGAAAAAGGTATTTTCCAGTTGTCCTTCAAATACAATTGGCTGAATATATTATGAAATATTATCTCTTTTTTTAGCCTAACTATAACCATGTGTACATGAAAACAGATTCTGTATCAAAGGTGAAAACATGACTAAAACATATCAGATTAAAAATGGATGATTTCAGAATTTGGAAGCTATTTAATTTTGTTAAGTTTTATTAAGATGGTTCAACAGATATATCTTTGATAAATTATTGCTATTTTAACCTGAGACACTAAGCAAATCCATTACTAAAGACTAAATAAGCAACTTCAGCACCTTATGAAAAAACTGTATCTGACCATTTCTTTGTGGTTGGTTAGGTGATATAATTATAATAGCAAAACCCTTTCAAAATGTGCACTTTATTTCTCACTTGTATAATTTGTGACTATCTTCTCAGTAAACAATAAAATGAGTCATTATTAAGTTCAGTAACAGTGCAAATAAGAGCATTTCCTAATTATTGGATTTAAGAGAATTTTTAGTCAATTAAATAAGAGATTTTTACATTTTTAACCCCTGACTGTGAGAACACAAATAGGTTAGGAAGGTTTCTTGGTTCAGGTAAACTAGCTAAAGCTTTGGGTAGAGGACACGACTGAACTTTGATACTTGTGACAAAGTTAAGAACAGGACAGTGGAGAGTAGAAAGCAATGGGAAATATAAGATGGGAAAGTTGTAGTGGTCCAGACCTTTGCATGAGGAGGACTTGTCATAAGGCAATTTGCATGCAGTATTTGAGGATTTTTCCAAAGCCACTATATGTGCAATGCCCAACAAGGGGTTTTAGGCTTACCCAAATATTTAATCTCATGACTTTATTGTAGGATTCCAGAGCAGAAACCATAGCTTGCTTCTATCACCAGAAAATCTTGCAGCTGTTCCCACAGCAGTTCTTACAGACTTCTGGAAGCTTCTCCACAGGTGATGGCCTGGCACAAGGTTATGAGCTCTCTACCAGGCAGAGGTGGAAACCATCTGTGTTGAATTTACATATCCTCACAGGAATTGCAGGGCTCCCTGATGGGGCATGCCAAGCTACAATTCTCTGTACTTAGTGAAGCCTACAGCTGGATTTCTATTAGGCATTCAAACACACTTTTCAGATGCAGAGACAGTTGTTAATTCTAGGTCCTTTTGCCCAAAAATGTAGCTAACAATTCTACCCAAGGTTTTGCTTGCAAAGAGCCTAGAGTTCATTGAATGACAAAATGTTTAAACAGAAAGGGAAGGGGATTCACTAGCATTTGTTAAACAGAACATAGTATTTTCTGACAAAGAATCAGATTCTTCATAATTATTTGGGCAACTTGCTCAGGTGTTCATAAGCTGGTAAAATAAGGGAGAAGAATGTATGTTCAGGCCTCAGTCTGAAGTACCTGGATTTCCACTATGCTACATTAAACAGAAAGTTTTTCTGGTTCCTTGTTTGTTACTTTTTCGGCAGTGGAATTTGAATACTAATAAATTTTTCTGAAAGAAATACACATTTATTAGAAATAAAAATTCTAGCTAGAAAATTTTCTACTAATATTACTTGTGTCCTTACGAAGTTATTCAATATAGTTCTTTAAAAGTATCTTTGTTCCAACCAGAAATGAAGTCAAGGCATTGAACTACTATAAGTGATTAGATTACAATAAATAATGACAATGCATTCCAGTATAATTCAATGGGCAATAACTTAACACATGTGAAAATCCATTTTTAGGTTTATTAGGATGCAATGGTTAGTGCATTTTGAAAGGATAATGTCTACATACGCTAACCCAAGGTTGCGATAGAAATCATGAGTTTTATGTGTTGCTGTTGATCTTTCCTACAATTTTTCAAGGAAAAATATTGTTTTTATTTACTTTCATGTCTGTTTTTCAAACTGGCTCATAGTTGAATTCCCTGGCATAATAATAAATTAGCCATCTTCTTGCTATCTTTGATGATTTATTTTTTACTTCATTTTTCACTAAAAATAACTTGATTCCTCATATTGAAAAAGCAGAAACATAAGCCTCAATCTTGACATCACCCTCATTCCTGATAGCTTTGCCTTTTAATTTCCTGCTTGTGGTCCGAGAAGCATCTTCCACATAGTATTCTCCATTAAATGTTGTTACACAGCGTGAAGCACAGGGTAAATTACAGGTGTTGCTCTGTATTTTTATTGTTTACATACCCCCCTACATGTTATCAAGAGAAGAAAAATTGAAAATAAATAAAAAGAAAAGATTTTACCTTCTTTTAATTTTGGTAATTTGCAACATTATGGGACAATGTCTTCATGATGTGCCTGCGGATCATCTCTCATACATGCAAGCATATTTAGTTGAAGAGATATTTTTAAAATATATTTATAGGCATTGTCCATGAAATCTGAAGGTGTATACAGTCTAATTTATGTTCCCAAGTGTCCTTCAGTGTGGGTACATGCATTGGAGCCTGAGTAACCTACCAAGAATCCTATCTTTTGAAAGATACTGTTTCTTCCCCTCCAAGCAGCCACTGGTTACCAAAAGTTCCTTAGGTTGGGTTGGAGTTTCTTACCCACTTTCACATGTCTATGCTGGGATTTTGTCTGGTTTGAGCTTAAGTGGGACTCATGCATGCTGTCACCATTGCTGTGATTTCACATACTAACTAACCAGTTGTCTGGAAAACGCTTGTTTCCTTGTGGTCATCCACTTCCTCTGGTTCTTTGCAATCATTTTGCCCCCTCTTCCACAATGATCCCTGAGACGTGGGAGGCAGAAGTTTGGTACAGGTGTCCTAATTGTGGATAGGCACTCTGTAGTCTCTTGTTCACTGCACATCGGCCAGTTGTGGGTTTCTATTTTATTAATCACCATTTGATGCATAAAAACTTCTTTGGTGAGAGCTGAGACCTCCATTATCTATAAGTCATTAGGAGTTAGTTTAATGGGCATTTAATACTGGTGTTAGGCTCTCCCCTATGCCCTGTAACCTGTCTAGTTTCAGGTTCATAAGCCTGATATCAATGTCAGGTATATGCTCCATCTTATGATATGGGCCTTAAATCCAATTAGAGAGTGATTGGTAACTCAAATAATATCTATGTCATTTTCAAACCAGTGGATATATCTTTCCAGGCCAGTTCTTGTTAATGTGCCCAGGAGTCACAGCTGGGTAAAGTTGATGATTATTTTTTCCCTCTGGTATCACGCATAACACCTTCCAGCACTATGGAAGCTAGCTAGTAGAGATGCGGCTTTCAAATCAGCACCAGTTTGATTTTTCCTTGTTTGTTCTACAGCTGATGTGTGTAGGGTCTTCGGCAACAGAGTTTTTTCATCCAGTTTTGGTGGTTAACCAAGAGCAGGGGTAATGGCCAGTATTGTTTGAGGGTCTATGGGACCGTTGGTCAACAGCTTCTAGAGAGAGGTCTGTTTCTGGCATTGCATTCCTTCATTTCTACTTAATAGTGATAAATTGTAAGGTCCTTAAAACTGCAGACCAAATGATGGTGAACATACCGTAAAATGAGAGACCGTTTCTGGTTGTCATAACAATTGACCTATCATCAATGTCTTCGATTGAATGGTTTGCTTGAAATGGGAGCATCTGTTGCAATAGCTATTTAGTGTTTATCAAATAGTTAACAAGTAACACATGACTCAAAAATGAAGCTTCTTCATAGGTTTGTTAATATGTGTAGCCCTCAACTGGATTCCCAGCTCATGAGTAGGCTTTTAACAAAGAAGCCTGAGTGTTCAACAACCCAGAACAAAGGTCAGCCAATTTCTTTAACCATCTTCAAATAAAAGTGTATTTGTTGACAATGGCAACTTGTCAACAAAGTTGTATAAATAATTTAGAGACACCTGTAAACAGTTCCTTTTAACATGTCATTCACGTACATTAAATATTACAAAGGATTTTTTAAGAGCAGATTTAATAAATGTGCTTAGTAAAGTTACTGATTTTTGGTTATCTTTTACAGAAACTCACTTTGAGACACGTTAACAGTAACCAGTGTCTTGATGAACCTTCTGAAGAAGACAAAATGGTGCCTACCATGCAGGACTGTAGTGGGAACAGATCCCAACAGTGGTTGCTGAGAAACATGACCTTGGGGGCATGAAGACCCAAACCCCAAGATGTGAAAGTGTCTACACTTTTGTTTATCCATTATTTCAGTTTGGGGAGAATATTAACTTTGACAAAATAAAAGTTTAAAAAATACTTTTAGTATTCTAAAACACAGTTGTTTATAATTCACTTTTTGGGAACGTTTATTTCCTTACTAAAATTTGTATCTGATTGAAGAAGCACATAGATTATAAATAGTGGCAAACTGTTATGAAACATTGGAACAACTTGGGGAAAAAAACCACTTGTGCTTGCTTTAAAAATAATTTTCATTGGCCTCCTGTCACAGGGTTACTGGGGTTTGTTTATTTTGTGTTGTGATAATGATTAAAAGAGAGATAATGTAAATGCCTTATAAAATAACTTGATTATGAAATACTATCATTGCTTTATAAATTACTCTTTCTACAATAGCTTCATGGAACTATGCTGAATTTCTATGTCAACAATTAGAACAAATATTAAATTATTCATGGGCATTGAATTCATCACAGAAAATGTTAGGTTTCAAATTTTGTACCAGGAAAACAAAACTGTTAGATACTGAATTTGTAGAATATAAAACCATTATTCTAAGTAAAGGAAAGAATTTTAAAATTCAGTTGAAATAATAAGTTTAAATAAAATGAAATAAGAAGGTAGCCAGACATTGAGGACCGGGGAAGATAAACTGCAACAACCACGGTAAAAAAGTTTCTCTTCCCAACAGTGGCTGAGGACCATCCTGCTCTGAAATACTGCAGAACCTGAACCCCGCACTGCTGTCTGTCTCTGTACGCCTGGCTGCACGTTTGCTCTTCACTCTAGAGGCTCTGGCTTATTGCTTACGCTGTACAGAATTGTAGCAGAAGGGTCACAGTTTAAACTTCATTTTAACTATTATTTATGGATCTTAGTTCAGTCAGTATTGTCATTGGAACTTTGTATTTTATTAAAAGTACTTTACTATCAGTTTATTCCCATGCTATAAAAATCTAACATTCATCCCCAGGAAACAATACTCAAAACAATTTATTAATGTGCTATTGGTTAAGCTGCTAGAACATGATTTTGACATAAACTATGACTCAGTCATAATTAGGGTGATTTCCTGTATTATTTCTGTCTGAAAAACCCTTTTGTTCAAAATGCATGAACAGAAGACATGAAAAAGAAGAAAAAAATCATCTGTCAGTGGGATATTCATTTGCATTTGGTAACCATTTCAAATGAGCATGTAGTTGCTCTGGCTGTTTTATCTTTGTACCTAACAGCTAAAAGAAATTTGATGACGGAGTGACAATGGAAGAAGTTTCTTCCGGAGCAGAAAGTCCATTCTTTTGACCCTTTATTTTAAAATCTCTTTTTTTAAAATGTCTTAATCATTTTAGTTCTCTCTCTCTCTCTCTCTCTCTCTCTCTCTCTCTCTCTCTCTCTCTCTCTCTCTCTCTATCTCTTCTTTTTCTGAAAACCAGTAAACATCTGTTTATTTTCCCAAGTGGCCTTTCCCCTTTCACTCTATATGTTTATAATTCTTGAGAAAAATTGTAACTTGGAACTTTTCAGATTTGCTACTTAAAGTGCATATATCTTTTACTCGAAGATCTCTGGGGATTACTAGTTTTCCTAAAATTCTAGGCAAAAGACTAAATAATAGAGCATTTTTTCCTGAGGATAGCTTATAATTGATAAGAAACTTAATAGGAATCTATGGCTCTCAAGAGATAATAATTCACAATCTTAAACTGATGATGACTTCATAAGTCAGCTGAGACCTAACTTCAACACTATTTTCCATTTTTTTCCCTTTTCAACAACATTTTCTTCTTGTCTGGACCAAAATGATATAACGTATACCTGTACAGCATTTTTTCATAAACTTAAAAACATGCCATTAATCCCAGCACTTGGGAGGCAGAGACAGGCAGATGTCTGTGAGTTCAAGGCCTGGTCTACATAGTGAGTTCCAGGACAGCTGGGTCTACAGGGAGATCCTGTCTCAAAAAGACCAAAAAAAAAATGAACATATGGAATTCACAGGTAAATGGATGGAAGTGGAAACAATTATTCTGAGTGAGGGAGCCCAGAGCGGAAAAAAAAAAAAAACGTCGTGTGTTCTCTCTCATAACTGGATGCATTGAAATCTTAGATATGCATGCTTCAGTTCGAAAATCCAGAGAGGTAAAGAACTATAAGCAACCATGGGTGGGGTGGTGGGGAAGCTCCTTGGAAGGGGAGGTAGAATGTGATGAACACTCAGATATTTGTTTATACAGTATTTTTAACTTTTCATTTGGCAGTCAAATGGATAATCCAGAGAAAGTGGTCAACAAAGTAGTTGTTAAATGTAGCTACTGGATGGAAACTGAATTTGAAGTATTTTAGCAGCATTTTGCCTAACTAAAACTTACTATGCTCACAGTGAAAACAGAGGAGAGCCTATAACTACATGTGTCACAGTGCTAGAGATGAACTTCTAAAGACTCTTGAGGTGATTGAATATGCCATCAAAGTATCTAAAAGTAAAACATGCCGTAAAATGTGATGATTTCCAGTCCAGAAAGCAGAGATTAAGACATAGTTTTTTCCAAAATGCTTGACTCAGTAAAGAAAATTAAAACCTTGATTGGAATCATAGTGAGTCTATCATATATTTATCTAAGGAGCTGGCTGAACAGATTTTTCAAATTATTTCAATCTATACATTTCTGTGGTTGTTCTCATCAGAACAAATACAACTCTAATCTGGATGTTCAAGTCAAAATTCTAAAATTGACTTGCTGTGGTGCTACATCCCAATGTCAGGACTCAGAAGGCAGAAGCTGATGGATTACTGTGAGTTCAAGATCAATCTGGTCTACATAGTGAGTTCCAGACAGTCAGAGCTACACACCCTGCCTCCCCACCCCACCCCTAAAAAAGTCTAAAGTTGAGACTAGAGAGACTGGAGCTGGAGTATGCTTGCCTCTTAAGCATGAGATTCAAAGTTTGATCCCAGGACCCACATAAAAAATAAAATAAAACAAAGCAAACAGAAAACCTAGAAGCCCATCTAATCCCAGTATTGGGGAGGTGGAGCCATGCAGTTTTCTAGGGCTTGCTGGCCAGCTAGTCTAGCATAATTGGCAAATTCCAGGCCAAATGGCAGACTTTGTCTGAAGAAACAAGTGGATGCCTGAGGCTGACCTCTGACTTCCACAACTGTACCCACATAAACACACACACACACACACTAAATCCATTTTTTACCTCTCTTCCTCTTTCACCCTTTACCTAACTGCTCCAAACTGCAACTCAGAGGCTGTCAGCAGTTGCATGCAGCCAAGGACAACTTAATGTGGCCCAACAGAAAACTGTGAACTTACTTAAAACATTACTAGAAGAGATTTTTGCCACATTTTTTCTATGAATTTTGTATATATAATGCTGAAAAATTTTGGTACACTGAGCCAAGAAAGAATTGAAAATGGGGTAGAGGAAATTAAGTGCAGAATTAAGAACATGAGTCATTAAAAGTCTAATATATTTAGGCTCAAATTCTAGCACTGCCCTAGTTATCTAACCATATTCAAGTTGCTCTGTTTCTCTGTGAATAATTCTTTGATTTGAAAAATTAGAGTAATAGAAAATTTCACAAATTTGATTATAATACAATGTTGTTATCTATGAAACTCAAAATCTACAAAATGTCAAAATGTTGAACACGCCTGTGAGGCTAACACATCAAAAAAATTCACTTGATGCCATCTTTGACATAACCAGAAACCAATAATTTGCACCACATCCACTGTATTTCTTTCGACCTTTTAATCATAGGCAATTTGCATATAATTTGGTACCATACTTTTGCCAATCTTTGACACAATGCTATAATTTTCCATAATATACCTATACCAGTAACAGAGATTCTGCTACATATGAATTGGTATATTTAGCTGCACAGAATCTTCCAATTAATTTTCTTCTTTGTCAAGTAGTCTTCAAGGTAATTCTTGATGGTAGCTCTCTCACATATACAAACTTACATGCACACACCCTGTCTACACATGAATATGTACACACACACACTCCACAAATACACATATACATACATGCACACATATACAGAGAGAGAGAGAGACAGAGAGAGACAGAGACAGAGACAGAGACAAAAAGAAGTGAGGGAGAGAGTTAAAGAGGGAGAAATTCCTATTTCTTATTTCTTTTTACTTTTTCCTTACACTACCTTGACTCACAAACAAGTTTCTGCCTTAGTGATAGTTTTAGATCCACAAAGGTCATTCATTGAGTTTCTGTAGGTCTCTATTCAACTATTACCTCTTTACTTAAGCAAATGCTTGTCCTACCTGCACTCTCTAGCTCCTTTGTCTCTGACAAGTCATGTTTACTTCTTCATTTCCTTCCATCTTCCCAACCCCATAACTCCATCACAATTTGGGAATATCAGTCTCATTTATTTATGTAATTTTTACCCAGTGCCAGGTTTTGAACTTAGGACCTCATATGTGCTATGTAAGCACTCTAACACTGAGGTGCGTGGCCAGTCAGTCACATAAGTCTCTTTTTAAGGCAGAGCCTTGTTTCACCCACTGGGTATCTTCAGACTATTGCATAACTCTTGGCACATACTAAACACACTTCTTGAATTAATGAATGTGATGGTGTGTGCTACATGGCACTCTTCATACATTTTTATATTTAAATTTTTAATGTCACTTAATATCTTCATGCATAATTTTCATAGCTTTTTCTCAAAATGGTGATTTTTCTTTATAGTTTCCTTCATAGTAAAGTATGGACTACATGTTTTCTTTATGCTAAAGTTTCCTGCCTTATGGAAATAAAACGATATTTTATAAAAGTGCTGCTATATGATATGTTGCTTCATTCAGCTAAAAATAACTTTAGTTTTAGTTCTTTCAGTTGTGTTCAATGGCCACCAGAAAGGCTAAGATTTTCACATTTAAAGAGAAGGTATGTACATTTCTTTACAAAATCATGTGCATTTTCATGTTTTCAAGATGGCTATACAAAGTTTATTTTCAAAGCACACATCTATTAGCAAAAATAATTAGAGAATCAAAACATTACATATGCTCTATCATTAATTTCTCTGTCATAGATAATAAAACCAAGTCCCAGCCCTGTAGTGCAGTTACCCAAGAATCATACAGTAACAAGCTTCGCTGCCAGGATTCCTCGTATTGCTATTGCCAAAAATATTATATGAGGGTATGATAAGTTTTTAAAGTATCTTCATTTAAAACTCTGTCTTTAACACATAAATTCTTCAGAAATATTTAAAAGTTTACTATATTTTCATATTAAATAAAATTGGTTCTATAGAATATGAAGACATTACCTTAAAAGAGCTTGATTATAGAAGAATAGACCATCCTAGCATCACTGGGTTCAGTAAAGGGAAGGAAAGAAAGCAAAGTGTCTTCAGTCATACCTTATGGAGCCCACCATTTTCTTTGGAATTCTCTTAAAAGTAAGGTCGACCTATCACTTGCACAGAGCATTAGGCCATCTATTACTGTGAACATTGGGCAGTTTTTCTGTTCTGCAGCTTTGAAGACTGCAGTATAAACAGCAAGTACTTCAGGCATCCCAGTGTATCTCTGCTGTAAAATAACATAAACTTAATTTTTCAATGGTGCTTAGAAACAGCCTAATAAAGAAAAAATAAGTAAAGGTGGGGAAATAAACTACAAAAATAAAATAACAAAATTGCCTTTTAATAGTTTAGTGAGAAGTTTGGAATACAGTAGGAATTGTTTCAGAAAACCTCAGAGTATTGGCTCCCAACGCTCCCCAAACCCTTGGTTTACACCTTTAGAGAAATAATCATGTAAGACCACTGTATTTGCATATTATTTATGAATGCAAATCTAGCTTCAGAGGGAACAAAACATGACACGTTCTTAAACTAAAAGTACATTGTTGTACAAATATGAAGGATTTAAGAAACATGCATGTGTCACTGTCAATGATCTGTCATTATA